GACAGTCCCTTCCGTCTCAGAATACACAAACCATACAGTGCCTTTTCTCCAGTCCCCGGGCTTGCTGGTTGCCTCAGGAATAACCTGTAGTGTGTCTGGATCATGCACAGCCAGCTGTGATTGTTCCATCATGAGATGTGGGTCCTGTAGGGACCCAAACATGCCCTCCCACTCTGTAGCCTTCAAAACCAAAGACACAGCCCCCAAATGAGTCACTGTCACATCCCTTTTCAGTAAAGGTTTGTTGGGGAGCTGGTGATGCCCATCCATAAAATGAGACAACTTCTTCACACTCTACCTCCTGGCTTCAGTAATTCCTTGATTTTGTCATCCCCCCTAGCTGGACTACCTTGTTGGTGACCAGAGGTTTTAGGGATGCTCTGTGTTGTCCAAGCTTAATATTTCCTTGGGGGAACGCTTTGAGACTGAATGGCCTCGAGATCCAACCCACCACTCTGTTTCCTATTCCTTTTAGCTATTAGTGATAACCATGAGCAAGGGATTGCATCTTTAACTTTTTCTTATTATTTTACATTTCCTCTACATTTCCAGTGGGCCAGCTCCCTAGGAGTTGGGTCCATCATTTCCAAATTCTGTTACTCAACTTTTCTCTATAACTTTTAATGTACGGAAATGACTGTGGCACAGATGTTGATCGCTACTGTTGGTGACCTTCTGACCACACAGGAATCAAAGGAAGCTCATACCCGCACTCTCATCCCTGCTCTTTCCAAACCACATGTGTCAGTGAGTCAGTCCTTCTCGGGAATACCCCATTTCTGACACCAAGTATTCTTCTGCCCCCCAACTTGGCATACTCCAATATGATTCTGTTGCTGATCACTGAGTTAGCACGAGATCCCACAAGAGAAGGGAAAGGTCCCCCAGAAGACTGTCCTCCTATCAAGCACCAGATGCAATTTGGGGATCCCTAGGCCACCTACATTTTCCTGACAGACTGGCTATATATTCAGGGGTTCCCATAGCCCCTCAGTTTCACTAATTCCCTGGAACTACTCCATAGAACTAAGGAAAGTGCTAGACTTCCGATTTCAGTTTTATTATAAAGTACACACCTAGGTGAGACCTGAGAGTGTCCCCGGGGGGAGGTCAGTTTGGCTCAACGTTACAACCACCTGATCAGACACTTGGTCTTTTGCTATCTAGGGGCCCACGATGAGCCCCCTCACTAGTTTAACAAAGGCGGTCTTATCCTTCAGGGAATTCCACAGACTTTTGAAGCTCTGTGCCTGGAACCAGAGATGGAGACCAGAGATGGAGACCAAAGAGAATCCCCATTACAGTACAGTCATGTACATCAAATTTTATCGATTTGTAAACCTTAATTTTGGGCAATATACTCTATGCCAGGCACACTTCAATAAGCAAGGGAAGAAAATACCATCACCACCCTGGAAAATGTTCCCAGGGTTCTGAGTGGATAAAACTGTGTCTCACGATCCCTTATCAGCCTTGGAAATAGAACAGCTGGTTATTTTACTAGCAAAATGGTTTTATTCAGGAAGAGCAGATGGATTGCAACTAGGGACAGGCAAGCTACGGCCAACCATGGGCAATTGCAGAGAAAAAAGAGGAGGACTTGCTCCCCTATAGAGGAATGGGTGGGTGGGGTAAGCAGGCTGTTGTAGAAAAAAGCCCAACTCAGTGACCTGGGATTTCAAGTGTAGCGGCTTTTCATTGGCCCAGTCGTGACTGTGTCTCACTGGCTGGGCTGTCGCCTGGGGAGGAGAAGATCTTCCTTCATGCTGCTGGGCTTCTTTCTCTTCCTGCTGGGTCTGCAAAGGGCTGCAAGGAGACCTCCCTCCTCTGGGCCACCAATTCCATCTCAAGTGTGGTTTCATTTATTCAGATGCTGGGTCTATTATGGAGTCAGTAGCCACTTCATTTCATAATAAATCTCAACCCTGAGTAGGCCTTTATGTTCCCCTTGTGGCATTTCGGTTGATCATATAGCAAGAAAAGTCTCTCGGGCTATATTTATTTGATTTATGAGAAAAGACAGGCTTGAGAGTGTGGGTGAATCGTGCAGAGTTGCATGACCAGCAGATGGGGAGCTAGGCATTGAGACAAGGTCCTTTAACCCCAAATCCCATGCACCTTCTCCCATGTCTCTACTTCCTGGGAGGGGGGAGACTCTAATTTTCTACATTGGGTTTGGCATCAGTCATAATTTTAAATCCTTGTTCCCAGTCCTCCTTCTGTGGGGCACTTGACAGACCCAAGACTGCAGGCATCCCAGAGTCTTTTCTCCATCAGATACTTCAGGATCAAGGGGATATTTCCTCCACTGATACTTCCCTCCTGCCCCTCCTCACGTTCCCATACCCTTTTGATTAAAGGAGCCTGAGAAAGAATCCTCCCCCTCTTAGCTGGAGAGCTGGGGTAGCTGGCTCCAGGTTCAGCCCCACGCCACACCCGGTTCTAGAGGGAATCTGAGGAGAAGGAACCTCCAGGCAGAGTTGGCCCCATTCATTCACCTTTCACCCACCAAGGTCTAATATTTAGCCCTAGAAACTGCTGCCAAAAGTAGGAAATGGCCTTCCCATGTGCAAAGTCAGTCTCCCATCACTTGTGCCAGCCATGGTTTCTGGGTGGTGGGACAAGAAACACTGTCAGATGAAGAGAGAGCCACAAGGTCTTCTTAAGGGACTGAGCCTCAGGGTGGGCACTTGGCTTCCCACCTAGGAGGTCGAAGGGGAGGTGGTGCGTTGCAAGGCCCAGAGAAACTCAGTATGTGATGGGAGGATCGCCGCTCACGTCCCTGCAGGACCTATCAGATGAAACAGGTTCTTGCCTTATTCTGTAGACCTCTGCAAGGAAATGAGTCAAGGTAGTTGTTTTAGTAATCACAAATACACAGTGAGGCAAATTATGACTTGGAGCCTTTGGATCATGACTCCTGTGGGAAACACATGCTCTTTAATTGAACTCGATTGCCCTGCAGGTATCAATATTTCCTGCATGTAATAAAAAATAAGACTGCTTGATGGAAAACAACACTTTTATTTCCCCGATAAACAAGCATCTTGTCACAAGGAATCCTTCATCTCTACAACACAGTTTCCCCGGGTGCTTGAGGGGGCCCAGGCTGCGAGTGATTGTTAAAATAAGTGATACCAAGAGCGAGGGCTCGAGGAATCCAGAAAGAGCTGAACAGTGGATTCCCTGGGAGAACGTGGGGTCCAGAGCTGTGGACTGGACTTTAGGAGGGAAAAGACACAGAGGGGCGGAAGGAAAAAAAAAAGAGCACACAGGCCACATGAGGGTAGAGAGAGGGGACGAATTCCCAGGTGTTAGGGTCATTACAGCATCTTCGCTGGGGCCCAGCCACGGCCAACTGGACAATGATACAGGCACAACTCCGAGAGAGTGCGGCTCAGCCCCAGACCCCTGGCATAAAGCAAAAATCCCAATAAAGTGGGCCCAATGAGTTTTTTTGTTTCCTCATGCACAGAAGAGCCACATTTATACTACATTGTGGTCTGGTAAGTACGCAATAGCTTTCTATCTTAAAAAAAAAGGACAAGTTCCATACTTTAAGTAAAGAACCCTCTGTTGCTACAAAATGCTCATCATTATCTGAGCTCTCAGTAAGCTGCAATCCCTGACCCCAGATCAGTGCAATAAATACAACAAGAGTAAAAAGTTTTGAAATATTGGGAGAATTACCAAAATGTGGCACAGAGACACAAAGTGAGCAAATGCTGTTGGAAAAAATGGTGCCAATAGATTTGCTCCACACAGGGTTGTCACAAATCTCCGACTTGTAATAAATGCAGTATCTGCGAAGTGCGATGAAGCCGAAGCTCAGTAAAACGGGGCAGGACTGTATTTATGCTTCTTCTAAGTGGGAAGGAAGCACGATGCAGGCATGATCGCTAGACTGAGAATGGCATGGACATTTTCCCAAATATCTCCAGGGAGAAGCTTCCTTCCTGTTCTGTTGTCATTCCATCTACCCTGACATCCCAGGCACTTCCCTTCCTGGAGATCGACGAGAGGCAGAGCAGAGGAACCAGGCCTGACATGGGTTAGAAGGAACAGACCACGGGGTTTGGCTGGAGACAGAAGACCCTGAGACCTCTTCTTCCTCATGCTAGGAGAGGGATGAGTTTAGATCAGGCTCTTGTCTGGATCAGGAAGAGAAGTGTGGGCTCCTGAGGATGGTGAGGTGTCCCCCACCCCTGCCCTGCTGCTCTGATTACGTCCAGCACAGATGTGCGAGGTCATGCTCTTCAGCTCTGCTTACAAGCGGGCCCCTGCTGGAATTCCTCTAGGACCTGGGTGTTGACCTTCCTTTTGAGTGTCCCCAAGGCCTCGTGTACTGCCTGGAGCCCAAGGAGAACCTACAAATGAGATCAGGACAGCAAACACCTCTGTGGGGACCCCCAGGGCATGGAGGTCCTATGTTCCTCATCTATGGATCCTAGAACTGCACTATCCAGGGGGGCAGCTGCTAGTCAGACATGCCTGCTCACGTTTTAGTTAATTAAAGCAAACGAAGTGGAACATTTCCATCCCTCGTCACACCTGCCACATTTCCGGTGCCCAGTAGTGCATGTTGACAACACAGAACACTCCCAGCCTCAGAGACAGCTCTCCTGGGCAGCTGCTGTGGGCCTGGCAGAGGGACTGCTCACAGACCACATCTACCCCAGCGTGTGTCCGTCCCAGTTGGGATCTCAGGTTGATCCCTGTGCACGTGAGAGCTACCAGGATCTGGTAGGTTGGGGATGTGCCATTTGAAGGGGGATCATTTCTCTCATTGAAGGTTTGCAACTGTGTCAAGGTCTTGTTGAAGGGCTCTGACTCCACAGAGACCAGAGAAGGTCTGAGGCCCTGGAGGAAGAGCAGGTGACGCTGGGTGAGCCAGCCAACCTGGCCTCAGCTGGAGGAGCAGGAACAGGGGAGCCCCTCTCTCCAATAACCTGCTGCTCATGCTTGTGTCTCTAAAGATTAGGTCGTTGAGAGCCTGAAATACCCAAGTGATGAGGAAGACTCTCCAGGTAGGGAACTCTACTCAGGTGGGAATCAATGGAGGAGGGCTCTGCGAGCAGTCAGGTTCACTTGCTGCTTTGGAGACTGAGGGGGGGGAGGGGGTTGTGAAATCAGAGAGAAGAAGTAAATATGTGTGATAGCTTGTCTTGTTTTCTTCACGTATCAAAGACATTATAGGAGATATTATGTGGATGGGTTTCAGCTGTGCTTTGCTATTTACGATTCTTTCCCCCAGACCTGCTCGTTCCCGCTCTGCCCCTGCCAAGCAGCAAAGCCTTGCTTATGTCTGATTCGTGTGTGTGGGGAACGGAGTAGGGGGGTTACCGGGTCCGGTTTGGTGTGACCCGACACAGAGGCGGTCTGGTGGGACACACTCTGTCCCGCACACTTGAACTGCAGACAGTGCTTCCCTGGGAGCCGGGTGCTGGGGGAGCCTGGGACCCTCTCCCTCTGCACCTTCGGGTCACAGAGCAGCACCTGCAGGGGCCGCGCTCAGGTCCGCCCCCGGGGGACAGGGCGCTGTCAGGGTGGGCAGCACAGAGAATGTTCTGGCTCGGCCTCCTGCATGAGCTCCCAGGTCCTGCTGCACAAGTGAGGTGGGAGGCACTCCCTGGAGCACATTTCTCTCCTCCTCTCCTCGCCCAAATCCCCGGACCTGGGGTCAGAATAAACCCTGCACTGGGCTCCATGGGAGAGAGGCCCATGTGCAGCCACCCAGAGTCCCTCCCTGGCCGGTGGGAGTTCTAGAGGCCTGTGTGAAGGCTGCTGGGCTGGCCGCACACACTGGCTGTCACGGTCCCGCCGAGCTGGGCTCCTGGGAGCGACCAGGCCCAGGACAGAGGCTCCAAGCACCAGAGCCGGAGTCCCTGCTCCTGACTGATCCCGCTGCTCCAGCCACACAGCGATGGGCCTGCCCCCCTGTCAGGGTCACGGACCCCCCTGGGACCTTCCCTCAGGCCTGCCCGGGGCCTCCCCCAGTCCTTCCAGGGTCGGGTCTCAGGGCAAACTGGCACTGGTGTGTACGTGGGCGCACCTGCTGTGGATTTCCCCTCGCCTCACCTATAGACTGGGGGACTTTGGAAGAGTTAGATTACCTCTAAGCTTGTGTTCTTCTTTAGAAAGCTTATGGGGTTGTTATGAAATTCAAATGTCTCCCTAGAACCTGGGGTTACCCCAGACATAGGACAGTCACTCAATATTTGGAGTTGGTTGTCACTCTCGCTAGGGGCCCAGCACACTGTTGGGCCCATGGCCGGTCCCTCCTGAGTAAGATCGTGAGGTTAGCTGGAGGCTGGCATACACCTCTGATCGTGCCCCTCTGTTCCCATATTGGAGAATCAGATTGGTGGAAATGGACAAGGAGAAGGGAAATGGGCTTTACTCAAGAGACAAAACAAGCAGGGAAGCTGTGAAGGGAGGGAAAGAGGGAGGAGGGGCAATGTCATGCCCAGAGAGTCATGGGGACAGTGACTGCATCTTGCAGGAATGGGATGACAGGTGCTGCTTTCTGGTCCCAGGTATGAAATGTGAGGGCTGGGAAGGGCCCAGAGACCCTAGACCCGCTCCTCATCACAAAGATGAAGTGATTACGGTCCCAGGAGGACTGCAGAGCTGAGGGCACATTGAGTTCTGGGGTCAGGGATGTAATCCCCAGAGCAGTGAGCCTGAGTGCTCACCTCTACCCTGACTGTCCCCTGTCCTTTCCCAAGGCCACCCTGTCCTGGGCCATGCCTGCTAAGGTCCATGCAGAGGGTTACTTTGCAGATTTTGAAGACTGGACAGAGGGAGCAAAACTGTGCATGTAGTTTATCTCCTCTGTCATCTCCTTTTCACTTTCTCACTTCCCTACCCATGAGCTCCCTCGGGGGCTCTTTCCTGTTGCCTGATTGGATGATTGGCATCCTGAAGGACCTTGTCCCATCCAGGCACAGGAGGTCCTCGCATCTCCAATGTCTATAAAATCCCTGCCACTACCCTCCTCTCCCACTCTCCTAGCATCACCCTGGCTCCTGACCTGGGTCTGCACCGTTGAATGGTGCTGAGCAGCCCTGCATGGGGGGCAGGGAGCCGGGGGGGGGTGAGATGAGAAGGGCTGGGCCCCCACTGCTGGAGGGGCTCCGGAAGCCTGGATCTGCCCCGGGCACCCCTCCCCCCACTTTGTGCTCTTCTGCCCCGGGTAGGGGGAGGGGACTCTGAACACGCCCCATTCTTCTCTTCCCACCAGCTGTCAGGACTGGTCCCACAGAAGTCTGCTATCACAAGTTCTCTCATCCTGGGCTCAAGAGAGGGGGTGAAGGACGTAAAAGCTGATAAGAGTGGAAGAATAAGAGGAAATGGGAGTGTGGAGGGGATAGGAGGCAAAGCAGAAGGCCAACAAGTGCCCACATTCTCCATTGCTTCCCTAACTTTGTCTTTGGCACTTCGGGATCAGAACAGCCCAGGGCAGAGCGCTGGGGTAACCTCTATGGCACGTGACACAAAAGTGGAAAAGAGATGGTGGTAAAAATCCGTGCAGGGAACTGAAGGATGCCCTGAGCACATCTTCCCAGGGAACGGTACCCCCCACCCCGCTTCCATAGAGGCCCTGAAGTGGCCAGGCGGCAGCCTCCCATGGCTCCTTATTGGGAGGGGAGTTCCATCGGTCCCCACAGGGCCACCGTGTGCTCGGGCCCCAGAAGGTGTGGGTCACATTGTGTTCTTTGTGAAGAGCACCTCTGGAGGTGTTCAACATCTTGCTCTGCAGGACCCACCGCGCCCTCCCAATTCCCCAAGGTCAATAGGGAGTATCCACAGCTAATCACTAGGTGTTGGGGGGGGACCCCGGGGGGAGGGTGAGGAGGCCTGATCTTCCACAGTTCAGGCTCCCGGGAAAAGTGAGAAGGACAGGGGCCCCGGGGCTCCCTCTCATGCCAGCAGGGCGGCTCAGCCCCGCCGCACATCCCCGAGGGCACATGGCAGCCCGGGCTCAAGTAGGCGACACTGCAGCATCCAACCCCAGCTGGGAGATGCCTGAGCCCTGGGGGCCCCTCAGCCTCTGCGGAGACCTGCAGAGGGCCTGGGTCACCTCATGGCACCGTTTCCCAGGCTGAGGTTCTATGGATTTTTCGTGTTCGTGTAAAAACTGAACACAAAACAAAAATTGAAGGAAATTCAATGCAATGCTAACTTAGAATGGGTTAAAGAGGCAGGATTGCAATGGTCTTATTATTATTCCAGTATTATAATTAAATAGCATAAATATATCTGGTTTCATTACACTCGAAAAACAGTGTGTTCTGTAAATTTTTCATGTTGGAATACAGTGTCACTATAAAATTTCTATTTTTACTATGATAGTATAATGAAAAAAAAATTTAATTAACAAGCACAGGCAAGTTTGGTAGGGGTGTAACCAAAAAACGGATAATGATGAGAAAAGGGGGTAAGCCCTCCAGGTAACTGTCCCCCTTGGCGGTGCAGGTGTCCAACTGGGCCCTTCCACGAGTGGGGTGGGGACAGCGTCAGCTCTCCCACCCTGTGTCATCAGACCTACTCCTCACAGGCCCAGGGGTGGGACTCAGGCTCTTCATCCTGGAGTCTAGGGCCTCCATTTTCTGCTGCTCCAGGTCACTGTCCAGGGGACCAGTGGCTTGAGGGCTGCCCAGCCACAGGCCCGGGTGGCACCTCTCCTGGAGGACACTTACAGACACTCTCAGCATACAGACATCACCCTCAGCCTGAGAGCCGCAAACAGGCCCAGTGCCCTGTGGATCTGACCGCTGGGGACCTGGGGACCTAAGGTCACCTTCCAAGCCCTGAGGAGCCATCTGGGTCCTGCACACCCACCCCAGGCTGCCCTCCTCCCTCGGCCTCTGGGCTTCCCCAGGGAGCCCAGCACCTCTGTCTGCGCCGCAGACGCTTGTTAAATCCCTGGGAAGGACTGCCCTGCAGGTGTGGGCTGGGGCCTCAGAGCATCTGGACTTGCAACGTGTCTG